GGATGGTCGAAATGCAGGCCATTGGGTCTGGGGAACTGCCTCCTACACAGCCAACCTTGCGACTGTCCTTCTCAAAGCCTCTCTCATTACCAATATCTGGACGAAGTACACTGTAATCGCCATCCCAGGCTCCATGCTGCTATGGTTCATCTTGATGCCCATCTACGCCATTGTAGCTCCCAAGGTCAATATCTCCACCGAATATGTTGGTGTTATCGAGCGCTTGTTCCCCGACCCGCGGTTCTGGGCAATGGTCTTGGTGTTGCCGCCACTCTGTCTTATCCGAGACTTTGCATGGAAGTATGCCAAGAGGATGTATTTCCCGCAAAGCTACCATCACGTCCAGGAGATTCAGAAGTACAACATCCAAGATTATCGGCCACGGTATGTTTACTTAATATTCACCCTTGCTAGCAACAGCTGACTAACTCTTCAACAGCATGGAACAATTCCAAAAAGCAATCCGAAAAGTCCGACAAGTGCAGCGCATGCGCAAACAGCGTGGTTATGCGTTCTCTCAAACAGACGAATCGCAAGCTAGGGTGCTGCAAGCCTATGACACCACACAGCAACGAGGTCGGTTCGGAGAAATGGCGAGTTCTCGGAAGTAAGCCAGGGTCTGGGGATGATCGCGGGAATGAACTTCACTCATCGGTGTTGGCTTGGCGCATGGGAATGGGCGGAATGATATTCGTGTACGACTGCGCTCCTACTGGGCATGATGTCTTTGATATCGGTACTGCATAGTGTTATTGATGTTAGCGTCAATCAACGAAGCTTTTGCTCGTAGTTTCTAATGACTTATTCTCTATTCAGTCTGTATTCTGTCGCTGACGTGCTGTAATGCCGCTTCACTCCCGGCTATTGCGACAATCTCAGCGTCATGTCGCATGTCCGAAGAGCCTCAAACGTTTCACCGCCCCACCACGGCATGCGAACAGCACAAAAAGAAATCCCACGCCGGCTCATCGCTTATCCAATGCCATGGACGAACGGTAAATCACGACCATGGCGCGTACTAATTATCCGGTGCCTCGAGCTGTCGAGACTAGTAGCTACTTTACCCGCCGACCGCGTGGTGGCAGGCCAAATTGTGGGTAGGGAGGGGCACATGGTACCCCACTATCGTCACTGTGGTGATCGTGATTGCAGCTGCGCTCTTTTGCCAGCGTTACGGCGCTCGCATGCAGTTTCAGGACGCAGAAGTTTCTGATTGAGCATTGTTGAGACGAGCCGCTATTTACCCATGTATTGAGAATTGCCGGGCAAGAGGAAGGAAGGAAGAGGCATTGCAGTAGTATTTTGCAGGCAACGCCAAACACCAAGGCCGACCAACACGCTCAGCATCCGCCACAAGCATGCGGCGCAACAAGGATAAATAGGCAGGCGGAACCATAACCCATCAGGGTAAAGGCGCAGACACGGCCATGGCAGCCCAGTCGTCCGGTTGAAGACGCAGGGTCATATGGTGATGCTAGCCTCTGACACGGCGTATATAGACGGCAGGCTGTTGTACCTGGCGCCAAAATCTGTTATTCCGTCTGCAAAATACACGTATATACTACCCCCAGGGACATGATTGCTGGGCGCTTCAATTGCCGTGCTAGCAGTATTAATACGCTGCGTGCCGCCTGTTCTTCTGCCGTTGCTACTACTTGCAGACCTCTTGCTTCTTCCTCTTTTACTCGTTCGACAAGACCTTGCTTTGGACGTTCACTTCCTACGTTACTACAAAAGAATAGCTTTGCGCATCGCAACTTCTTCGCTACCATGGCTGTCAACACTCCCTACGTTACGCTTAACGATGGCAACAAGATGCCCCAGGTTGGCTTTGGACTGTGGAAGGTCGACAATGCTACCTGCGCCGACACTGTTTACAACGCCATCAAGGCTGGATACAGGTTGTTCGACGGTGCCTGCGGTACGTTCATCCCCTCTCCTCATCCCCAGAGCCGCAGTTGGCGGAGGTCTGGGGAAGCGGTCTCAATTACCACGAAACGCTCCATCGGCCCGTAAACCGTAAAGAGCAGAGATCTATCGGCAATCGCAGACGGGGTTTTCCCTCCGATTTACCGGTGGCTTCTGCATCCTCTGCAAGGTTACATTGCGTCGGAATGCTAGCGCCCTGCCTCGGAACAGCGCCGCGCATGATCACAGCTGACAATCCAATCTACAGACTACGGCAACGAAGTCGAGTGCGGCCAGGGTGTAGCCCGCGCCATCAAGGACGGGCTCGTAAAGCGCGAAGACCTCTTCATCGTCAGCAAGCTGTGGCAAACATTCCACGAGCGCGAGCAAGTCGAGCCCATCTGCAAGAAGCAACTGGCCGACTGGGGCGTCGACTACTTCGACCTGTACATCATCCACTTCCCCGTCGCGCTCAAGTACGTCGACCCCAAGGTGCGCTACCCACCGGGCTGGTTCGTCGACGGCGAGAGCAAGATCGAGCACAGCAATGCCAGCCTACAAAGCACATGGGAAGCCTTTGAGGAGCTCAAGAACAAGGGCCTGGCCAAGAGCATCGGTGTGAGCAACTACTCGGGCGCCCTCCTCCTCGACATGTTCACCTACTGCAAGATCAAGCCCGCCACCCTCCAGATCGAACACCACCCCTACTACGTCCAGCCCTACCTCATCGAACTCGCCAAGCAGCACGACATCAAGGTCACCGCATACTCTTCCTTCGGCCCCCAGAGCTTCATCGAGTGCGACATGAAGATCGCGGCTGACACACCCCTCCTCTTTGACCACCCCGTCATCAAGAAGATTGCTGATGCGCATGGCAAGACTCCCGCGCAGGTCCTCCTCCGCTGGTCGACACAGCGCGGTCTTAGCGTTATCCCCAAGTCCAACTCGGCGAACCGTCTGCAGCAGAACTTGGATGTTACCAGCTTTGATCTCAAGGACAGCGAGATTGCGGAGATCTCTGGCCTGGACAAGAACTTGAAGTTCAACGCTCCTACCAACGTAAGTTTAGATGCGTATCTTTGTGGTATAGGATGAGTGCTAATGTTGTGTTGCAGTACGGTATCCCTTGCTACGTCTTCGCATAGATGGATGGCGTATGGAGGAGTCGTGGATGAACGAGGATGACGATATGAATAAATAGATAAACAGCACGGCGCGTTGCACTGCGCTGATAGCCAGATAACAACGCCAGATGGCGAAAATGAATATACTGTCAAAACACTCATCCACAGTCCAAACCACACTGTCGATTATTGTGACGAGGAGGGACGATGAACGAAAACCGAGTCGCGACCCTTACCCATGCTCCGAACGAGTGGTCTCAGTCCCTTCCAGCACGCACGTCAACGCACCGTCACACCCCCTCCCTCCTCGCCGGCTTTCAGGCAAAACCAAAGCACACCTCCAGCTAACCACGCCGGACTATCCGATAACACTCACACCGCACGCCAGGTTGTTGTCATAGCTGTCACACTCGCTCTAGCCCCTACTGCATCATCATCATCGCGCCAAGCACATCATGCACCTAACGCGTCCGCTCCAGGGTACAAGCCACGTCTAGAACCCGTTCTGTTGTACCAGCCCTGCAGGCGCGTGAGATCGTGATGGGCTTTGCTGTGCTGGTTGTGCATGGGATAGGGTGTCGTTAGTTTTCGTTTTCATATTCAAGATCTTCTATCTGAGCGACCAGGGTGGTAAGATGGGAGGTGGGTGATTGGTCACGGAATAAGGAAGCGCGCGCATCCGGGTCTTTCTGTCGAGAATGAGACTCGGGAGATGCGAGATGGGCATGCGAGAATGCGCATCAACAATCCCATCCTGAAAACTCCATCAGCCATGAAATATGCACTACGCCTCTCAGTTGCGGGGCATCGCATACCTAGGCAAAAGACACCTGCCGACAGCCGTACAAGCGCGGCATATGCAAGAGAGACAAAGATAACGTTTAGACCTGGAGGCACGGAATGACGCGCTTGCGATTCTAGGTCTTCGAGGTTCTTGTTTCCGCTAAGCTCCGGAAGCTGCTCCACTGGAACAACCGCTTGCCGCATGATCCGCATTGGCATTGGCACATACACCACACATGGCGCTGGCTGGGGGGACTAAGGCTAGACTTGTTTGTGTGATGCGTGTTGTTGATGGCGCATTTGGACTTCAGAGGTGAATTGTGCGCGTCGACGTGAAGTAGAAGGTTGCGTGAAAGCTACCCAGCTTGCGCATCAGTTTCACGAAGTAATTAAAACGCGCGTGCGCATTATAGCGACCCAGACCAGAAAGATCCTCAACCCGTGACATCACCAACGCACGCGCATCGTCCGAGTCGTCCGCCGCCCATCGCAGGGCAGCACCTCATCCTGCATCCTGCATCCGCGGATCCCGGAGCTAGTCCGAAAAAAAGCTCATGCCATGTGTACTAGGTCACGACAAAGTTAAATCTTTTGCATCGGAACACCGAAACGCAGGACCGATTAACAATCCAGAGGGCTCTTTCTATCGGCCAACTCAGGCGAAACTGACATCAAGCTTCCGAGGATCGTTGGCTATTTACTTACCTTGAACTACTGCACGCGATCACCACGTTTTCTCCTCTTGACTTTGACTACTCTTCCGGCAACCGGCTTGCGATTATTGCGATTACGATTGTACTACTTGCTAGCTACCTGCTAGCTAGTTCCCCGCGCGAAAGACAACGATATACATACTGGAAGGATTCGTGCCGGATCGCTTGCTTTTGCTTCTGCCTCCTTCCTGATCCTGAATTCCGACGCGCCGGTACTGATCTGCTGTTTGATACCCACCCCCGGAGTCTGTCTGACGTATTTGATTTGAATCTGCTTTTTATACAAACGTTTTACGCGAATCACGCCGGATCGAAACGGGACGCAACGCAGCGCAGCGCATTGTTACTTGGAGTCTTGAGCCAGGCGCATCCGCATCGACGTCGACATCCACACCGTCATACCTGAATCCCATCCTCATTTCCCTGGCCTGACCAAACGGGAAACATGGCACTATCGGTCGAGCAAAAGCAGATGAGGTATGTTCGCGAACGCGCGAAGCTTGCACCATGCAGTCAATACTGACTTTGCCCCCACAGATTCCTAGCCGTCGTGCTCCCCTCCCTCACACTCTGCACCCACACGCTCCTCGCCCTCTCCTTCCTCCTCCCAGGCTCAGATCCCAACCGCGCCGTCTTCTCCATCACATACAATGCCATCGCCGGCAGCGCAAGCATATTAGGCCTCGTGGGCGCTATACGGGTAAGCAAGCAAGCCACTTTCTTCATCCCCGCGATTCGTGCGACTGGCGGGTCTTGGATGGGTCCGGGTTCGCGCGGAGGAAAGCAACATCCAAGACATGTCCGAGTCAATTAGTAAGACAAGGCGGGAATGTGCTAACGCCCTGTTTCGCAGTTACTACCGCGCCTAGTGTCAGCTTACACCATCGTCCACGCCATCACCCTCTCCTTCGTCACCATCGCGCTCGTAAACCTGATTCTGCCCTTCGACTTTCGGTTGCTCAATCCGGTTATTCCGAGCTATGCCGTTGATGGGTCGTTGTTGTGTCGCGATATCGATGCGGGATTTGGCTGGGACGACGAGTGGTTGGAGAAGTGCTCGATGACTTTTATTGTCGTCAAGTTTGCGATTGCAGGGCTGGGTTTGAGCTTGATGGGCGCGCAGTGGTGGGCGTTGTGCAGTGTGAGGGCGTGGGGGCAGGAGTTGGGTGAGCAGGATAGGAGTGGCGAGGGAGATGTGGAAAAGGCTGGCCTTGTGCGAAGGGACGATTTTATGTTTGATGAAAAGACGGGGTTCTAAATGAATTATGAATTAAAGAGTATGAACAAAACGGGCGCGAACCGCGAGACCAGCTCGCGCGTGAAGTGTAGCTTTCAAGACTGGTTGGATCGCGATTGAAGCTTAACGCCGAACAGATCCCTCCACCTTCGGGGTTGATTCATCCAGCACGGGGAAGTTGATGACTGACACAGTGTCGATCGCATCCTTGTGAGTCTCCCGAACCCAAAGTTGACCTGCTCCCTGCTCCCCTGGTCTGGGAGTCTCCCTCCAGAAAACGAACTCTGGTATCTCTTTACGCGGTGTGAAATACCGGATGTACGTCGTTACTTCTTCAGTCAGACAGGTTTGGCAATTGTAATTGCACTGGTTGGAATCCCAAGGAGTCCCTCCACAGTGTAGGCATATCTTGATCCTTTGACTGACCCATTCGTTTCTTGGCGGAAGTATGGTATTAGGCCCGGTTTCGATAGGCATCGTAAACCTTGCAACATGGCAGAAGCAGACGTTTGGTGGTAGTTCGATAACGTCGTGCGATATGTTGACTCCCACCATCGGCAGACAGGCGGAACTGAGCGATGACTTAAAACTATTGATCGGACATGTGACCCCGCATAGAATACAGTATCGATGGGTGGGTTTCGAAGACGGTGGAGCTAGGTGACGTTGAATGGCGCGCTGTACACAACGAGGGCGTGGAGTTTGCCATCGTCGCTGATGAAGCCATATTATGCTGTTGAGTCGTCGTTGTGTGAGCCCGAGGGCAACTATCGCATCATGCGGAAGAATGTCTGCGATATCGAGGATAAGCTCAGTGGGGAGGTTGATGAGCGGTGCTGTAGGCGCGGGCATGGCTTCCTGTACGTTCGGCAGAGGTGGCTGTTGATACTTCGTGGGTCTTCGCGATCTGAGGATTGGAAACAGTCGTAGGAGGAGGTCGATACAGTACGCTCGCGCACAAGGCGAGGCCCATTTGCGGAGCCATATCAATGGAGTCATTCACACTGTAGAGCCACCGTGGTGACATTTCACGTCCGACTGTAAAGGCAAACAGCGCCCGTCCGTCGAAGGGTGAATTCGCTGCTAATAAGGGATCCATGAACTCGCCTCCTTTCCAAGGGCGGTGTCTCATATTCATGCGTGAGGTGGGCGTTGCGCTTCATCATGTGTGACGGGCTTATCGGGCGTATATGTTGCAAGGGAGGATGAGTGGTCATGTCGGAGGTGTGGCTGATGGCTTGAGTGATGCCTAGACTCATGATCGGTGGCAGGCGCGTGATGTCAAGAAATGAAAGGGGAAAGAGCGTTGGATGTTGATGACTCGAAATGTGTGATGACGATGGAATGGAATGGACAGGGTGACTGAGCGAACAGGCGGAAGGAGAATACATTCCTCAGGATGACGTGTGCAAGGCTTACTTTTGGAGGCTATAGCGCAACGGCGGAGTGTAGGCGAAGTTGGCGAACTACAGAAGCTGGGGTATGCGGGAGCGCAGGCCTAGCCGAATGGGTCGTACCCTTGCCTGTGTTGGTCGGCTCACGCACGTGCCATTCTGTTATTGCGCATACAGTGAGGTGTTTTCGAGCATCGCCCGGCTTTGTATAAAGCCCTGTGTATCTGGAGACTCGGCAGCGAATTCCGACCCCCCACATCGTGGATGGATACTGACGTCGCATATCAGCATGCGAAGCTCGGCGTGCATGGCGTTGCTATCTTGACTTTGTTAAACCTCATCTGGAAACAAGGCCGGCACCGACGTTGGCCATCTTGGTCTTCTCTGAGCCAAACGGACTCAGGCGACAACCACACCGATGGTAGGAGTATCATCTCTCTGGTGGATGTGCATGTGGTATGATAGAGAAGCAAGCCACAAGTCGATATTTTCACGAATGTCTGTCTTTGGTGGGTGCTTATTGGAGGCAGCCTACATTGCTCGTCCGATTGCCCCGCATCACAGCCCAAGCGCTTCCACATGGTGCGTGATGGTGGAGGGCAGTGATCATGCTGGCAGCACGGCGTGGCATGCGTCGGCCTGGCAGCCATGGATTGCTGCACTCGCGGGCGCACTGGCGGGGCACTGCGAACGCGAGGTTCGCAGATGACGGCCACGACGCAGCTGTCGATGTCTATGGGAGGACGCAGACCCTGAGTCGGTGTATGTCAGGGCCGTGACAAAGCCAGACCGGTAGGGTCCACGTGTAAAGGAGACGCGCGGGGCTTTGTTGCGAATAGCCGACGACAGATAGGGTGGTGAGAGCCCGAACGACGGTTGCAGGTTCGCTAAACGCGCCCGCTGCTCGCACTGCATATCCCGCAGTCCTCGACGACGACATGCAGCTGCCCCTCTCGGACGTCATCCGCCAGCTCTTCCACTTCGCCGACCGCTGAAGAGCCGTAGAGTTGGGCTTCCAGGACAACGGCAGCCACCAACGCGAGGCTGCGGCGTCCGTCATACGAAGTACGCGGTTGGACCAGGACGGGATGGAAGGCATGTCGAACTAATTGCATGCAGCTGGTGAGGCCCGTGTCGTCGAAGCGGAGATGAATTAAGTGGATAGGTCGTTGCTCGGCCTGCTTAGCGCGAGGAATCCAGCATCCCCTTTCGCCATGTCCTCACATTCCCGCGATATCTCCCGAAGTCCCTCCCTGACCCCTACCCGCTCTCAGTTGTGCTTTTCCTGGTGCCTCACTTGCTGCCTGCCCGGTGAACAGCTGTCGCTCCTTTTTCGCGGTGAAGGTGAGTTCACGGTTCACTTTCTTCGGTACGCGGCACGACCCTGTCGTCCAAAACATCTCCGCTCTCCACCAAAATTTTCCGCTGCCCGCCTCGACCTCATTTCCCGCCCCCATATCGTCAACACGGGCTGCCGCCGACCGCCGAACCTCTTGTTGCCGAACCTCAGTCGCCAATTGCTGCGTGCCATTGCTGGACCAGAACAACCGTACTGACCAGTGTACTCAGAATATCTAGACTAGTCCCGCCCACGAGCCCTTTGGCGTTGCGCAACTACCCCGACTCCCACGAAGCCACCGGACTGCCTCTTGCCCGCCATGTCCTACTACAACGACGCGTCGTGGAACACACCCGCTCCCGGCCGCCAGCAGTCATGGGAGCAGCCCCAACCGCCCTCGCGCTCAGGTACCGGCCACATGGGATTCAACGGCGCAGGTGCAGCGATTCACATGGATGTAGGCACAAGCTCCACGGTCAACAGCGAGGTCGCCAATGCCTTTGCTTCGCAGTTTGAGGGTACGTAGTTCCGGCAGCGGGGTCTGTCAGAGCCAATGCGACCCGACATGGCAGTGACAGGCCCCGTCGCAACCATAGGCGAGGCGAGTGCTGACCAGTAACCACAGAGGTCGACCGCGCCATTGAGAACCTCAGCAAGAGCGGCAAGCCCCTCGGCCCCGGCTTCCCTCCCACCCCCATGGGCGCCAACCGCCGCGAGTCGATGCCCATGATGGGAGGCGCGCCCCGCCCATACCCCGACTTCGGTACACACTTCTGCCCACGCATGCCCCTCCACACCACTGACATGTGACACAGAGCAGCAGCGCATGGGCGGCCCCCAGCGCCACCACTCGGTCAGCGAGTACGACGGCTCCCGCTCCCACTCGGCGACCAACGTCCAGGGCTTCTACCAGAACCAGCGCGGCTATGCGCCCCGACCCAACGACGCGGACCAGATGGCACAGGCGAAGCGACGGATGGCGGCTCAGCGTGAGCGTGAGCTGCGCAACTATCATCAGGAGCAGCAATACCACAGAAGTAAGGACTCGGAATCTGGGCAACAATAGGCAGGACAGTTGGTTGACTAGGGTAATACAGACGTTTCAGGCTCAGGCTCCAAGTCGGACCGCTCCATGAGCCCCAATGCCATGAATGAAGATGAGCGCCGCGAACTCATCGCCCGCCAGCACCGTGCTTTGTATGGCGAGACCTCCACCCTGTACAACAGCAACCCCACCTCGAGCCAGGATGTCCGCGTTCAGACTTCTGCTGCCGGCCGTGGCCCCTCTCCGCTCGCCTTTGACCCCTTCGGCATGCAGGCCCAGTCCGGCGAGGGCTCCGTCCAGATGCCTCCCCGCGACAAGGACGTTATTGGTGGTGCTCAGGATGCTCGTGCCAACAGCACCTCTTCGCCGTCCGGCACTCAGAACCCCGCGTTCAACCTCTTCGATGCGCAGCAGGCGAACCGCACTTCCAACTCGTCGCCCGGAGGCTCTCCTCCCGTGCCCGGTCAGAAGGCCAACGGCTCTGGTGTTGCCCCCATTGGCACTCGTCCCCAGAACCAGAACCTGCAGCAGCCAGGTGGTGCCGCCCTGGGCAAGCGCGCAAACTCACCGCTGCCGTCGCCTCTCGGCTACAACTCGTACAACGCGAGCGAGCAGAACAACATGACGACATCTGCTTCTATGAACCCTTCTTCTACTGTCACTGACAAGGGCGTTGGTATTTGGAACAACGGACCCTGGAGCAACACCCCCACCCAGGGAGTCCAGGCGTCTGTTTGGGGTTAGAATCGGAGTTTTGATTAGGGAGATAGGATGCACCTCCGGAGTTACTGCATTTCAG